TCAACCTCTTGGATGCCCCATTTCAGTTCCCGTATTAACTGCTAATAAAATTGGCTCCTGTCTCCTAGGCAGGGGAGACCTGCTGACAGACTAGCATTTACATTTAAAGGCTTCTTCTACACATCTGAATATTAACAAGTCTCCATAGCAGTTTCTCTACATGATCTGGCTTCAAGCCCGTCTGGTGCCTCAGTTTTTCTATCTTCTCCAGTTCATGAGCCCTTACACTTCCCTTTATTCACTCTCTCCCTTTTGAAGATAAAGTTGTTAATAAGGACTTCATAGTTTCTTGCTAAATTCAGTTCCCTCTACATGTTCAGCAGGTAACCCTAGCACTGTAAATTTACAGTAAAAGTACAAAGTAGGTTTCTTTCTGCTTTGATTTCCTGTGCCCATGTCACCTCCTTCAGGTCTAAGCACAGTAGTGACCCCATTAACTAGATCATCATCTTTTTACCAATCCCAGAGAGAGTACTTTCATTTGATGAAAAAGTTGAATGTTGTTCATTGGTATGTGGTGAATCGGCATATTGTGGCATCTTCTAAATAAAACACGAGTCATCGTGACAGGCTGGGTGTAGCCACAGAATCATTTGCTATTTTCACATGAGTGCCCAGCAACAAAAATATGATAAAAAAGCATAGACCCACTTATTGCTTACCATGAAACACCCAGCATCTTCTTGTTTCTTCACTCAAAACATGAGACTTTTCTACTTAGAAATCTTTGTGAAAAAAATCCCTTTAAGATGATATATCAGACCGTCCCATATAAAAAAAAAAAAAAAAAAGAAAAACACAGAGGGCTGGAATGTTTGTCTTTTCTGAAGGAAACACCCCTGACTCACCCTACATGATCATCTCTTGTCATTTCTCTGGCCTGAACCTACACACACCAGCTTCAGTGGAGTTGAAGTGGCAGGAACCATCACTGCCGCAGAGTGCCTCGAGTTCTTGGCTGAGATACAAGGAATATTTCTTGAAATGCTCACGCAACATGGCATCATCACAAATATCCTACTTCCCAGCAAAATTGTCTATTGCCTGCTACGTGCCCCTGCACACTCTGCAGCATCTTGGAAGGATGATCGGGAGGCACATGAATCTCACTTCTAGCTGAGAAAGTGAAACCCATGCAAGGATGCTGACCTGGCTCCTAGGATTTGGTGTCGGGTACTACTGCCACATGGTCTCACGGACTGCTGCTGAGGAAGCCAAAAAAGCTGTCGTGACACAGAGGCAATCCTATGTGAAAGGGCAAAGCAGGGAATCCTTCCTGATGGCAATACATTAGCAGCTTGCTTAGAGCAGCGTGAAGCCTAGACACCTTAAAATTAATGGATTGCCATTATATGGTGCACTGTATGGAAATCTCTTGGCCCACCTATTTCAGCTGTTTTTTTTTTTTAATTTGGATCTTTGTTAGAGAAACGTTGAAATCTTAGCCACGTCTGAAAGTAATAGTACAATCTCTATCAGTACAGACAGAGCCAGGATTTTATCTGAAGAATAATATAGATGCCACAACTAGAAAACAGGCTTAACTGTAGCATTACTGTTTGCTGACACTCTGCTAATGGGCTAATATCAAAAGAAATGTTTATTCGAGAGAATCTGATAGCAAAACTGTCTGTTGTGATGAGGTTGTAACGTGGCAGAGAATCCAGCCTTCCTATCGGTTTTCCCTAATAAAACCTTCTGTCTGGGATATTTTTATTCCTTTTTGAAAACTTATTAAAAGAGCCAGCAAGCATGCAGCACATGCTTCTTGAACATTGGTTTCCTATTACATCGCATCAAGCACTAGCCGAGACAAATTAGTAAAAGCCATCAGCGTGGAAGATGCTTGGAACTACGGGCCATCAGAGACAGAACTTTTCCACCATGGCTTTTCACTGCTGAGGATGGCATGGTTCAGATATAGTAGCAACATCAAGCATTTCGAACCCACTGTGGTATGGAAGGGGCAACATAACAAAAAGGCACATTTATTTAATGCCTCTTGCCTACTGAAGTAGCTATGATGTCCCCTACATCTTTCAGTACCGAAACTGAAATGCTGAATAGTGCTGGATGTTTAGAACACCCAAGGACGAAGCTAGGTCAGCCAGTAATTTAAATACAAACGTGTTTCTGACTAGCTAACAGCACTGATTTGTTGAGGAGTTGCAAAAAGAATTAAAAAGAGTCATACCCTTACTAAATGTTTCAGACTGACTCATTTCTGACTGAGAAAGCATAGTCACTAATTATTGCAGCAGAATGTGCATATGCGCCTTCCAAAAATTGGTACGGCTGCTGAATTTCACATCCTACTCATCTCCCAGCAGATTTCTCAGTACACATGCTTACATAAAAAAAAAAAACACCAAAACCCAACTTCCTGAGCTGCATTTGAATGATGTAAGTGTTGGGTAGAGACAACTGATTATTTAAAACCAGAACAAGATTTAAATTAGCTATTCTTTTTTAAGGATGCCAAGACTATGCTGCAGAGTTGTTGTGACCACCCTGAACACACAGGAAGACAGGCAAGAAATAGTAGCTGTGGCTTAATGAGGTTACGAAGTGATTCAAATATTTTGGAAGTTATTTTGTTATCATTCATATGATAACGATCATAATTTTTTTCCCTTCGCCTCTTTCCATCTGTTTAGGGAAAGAAGGATTTTCATTTCTAAATGAGTCCTTTGTGAGGGCTGCCTTTGCCCTCTCTTGGTACGATCTCTTTGCCACACCAGATGTTAGGAACCCTGACCCCAGCCCCTGCGTCCCTCAGCCGTGCATCGTTCTACATCTCCTTCCAGTTACAAGCTGGGCTCTCGGACTGCAGGAGCTGCCATCGGTACAGTTGTGCTGACCTCAGTGTATTTTTGGTGCCATGTTTAAGACGTTATTTTCAGAAACACTCGTTTTCTTTTAATTTTGAACATTTTGAAGAGCATTAGACAAGATTTTATTTGTTGCAGAGCCCACATGTCTGAAACAGAGATGAAGCCTGCATACTTCAGATTTTGGGATATCGTTTCCTCCACATCTTGCTGTTCTTTTCCACTGATCTACTAGTGAACGGGTTACATATTTTTCTTCTCCTGTTAAGACAATGTATTTTACACCAGTTTGATTGCAATGCACGTGTTCAAACATTTCTTCTATTTCAGTGCTCCCTACCATTTTTTGCGTAGAATAAACACGGACTTACTTTTAGAAAGACCCTTTAATCTGGGTAGGTGAAGACACTGATCAAATTAGATGCCTCTCCTTTTTTTCCAATGCAAAAAATACAACCACCAAAACTTTGGTGCATCTCTTCATTTACTGCACAAGATAAATGAAAGAATTAAGACTTTTGAAGGGTAGCTACCATTTCTGATTGTGGGAAGAGCCAGGTACGCTCCGGGATTTGTGAATGTCTCGCAAGTTGCCATGCTACTCTTTCTTATAAAATATAATTGGCTTTAGATGAAATTGTACCCCCAACTAAACTTGATTACCCATTTACCACAGGCCTCAATGGAGGCAAGGTTTAACCTCCAAGAGCAAAGCTTGAACGCACCTGAAAACTTAACACTTTCCTAATACCTAAATATCCCCTATATCCTGCATAGCAACAGCACCTTTGTCTTTTCTTCCTCCTTTCTCACTTTCCTTTTGCTACCACTTTCTTCTCCATCTTTCTTAATGCTTTATTTTTCCTTTTGATAACTAATTAACCTGTTCCACCTCAGTAATCAGCACAGCAGTAGTAGCATAATACAGAATTACACCTTGTTTTGTTCTTATCTTTTTTTTAATATAGATAAGATTTGTTTTATTCACCTCACACATTTCCTTCATTTGATTATTGCTATTGCATCTCTCTTAATTTATCATTTCAAAGTTACAAAGGAAATAACCTACCAAGTCTGGCAGGTGACCCTGTTCCCAGAGAAGTTCTGATAACATGGTATAACAGGAGTGAGAATATGCTGATGCTGTCTACTGAGAGCAAATCCTAAACTTGAATCCAGATTCTCTGTGATTTAATCCAAAGCCCTACACTGGTGCCAGAAGTGAGTTTTAAGAAAGAGTAAAAGATGTAGAGGTATCTATGAACAGTAAGACTGTACCAGTCCCTTGGAAAAGCTTTAGCTCTGCCATATTTCCCAGTATATGTCCTCAAAGCTTTTTAAGTGCACGTATGTGAACCACTCGCGTTGCGTGTGAAAACTGCATGTGTGACTGACTGAGAACTTGAGAAGTCACCTCAGGTCCTGGCATCGCAAGAATAAAAACTGTAGCCAGAAAATGAAGGGAGAAGCAGCCTGGCTGAAAATGAATGCGTGTTAACATACCGTTTGTACCATACCTAAAGGAAGATGAAAGTGCTGAGCCTTTTTCACTGAACTGAGGTCTCCTAATGCAGGGACTGTGCAAAACTGTTCCCTCATGGGCTATCGCACGCTCATGCCATCTCAGTCTATGTGCATTGCCTATAATATATACAGAACTTAGTACAGGTTTTCCTTGGTAACTCCTTCTAAAGAAAATGTATGAAGACAGAAAAGACAGTTACCCAATGTGATTATCAAGTGGAAGATGGCAGTCAGGGGCTTTCTTCAATAATCTCAGTTAGAAACTTGCGAAGTTACAACTGCAGGAAATCTAGATACAGCATCCAAATATCCTGCAATGAGTTGCAGAAATCTGTATGAATACTTTTCTCCATGAGGCTCTCCAGGCATTTAACTTTTAATACTTCAGCTCCTCTCTGAGTTCTTGGAATTTTCAAAAACAAGTTGACAGCACATTAAAAATAAACACTGCTTTATTTGCCAGATCTAGATCTTATTAAATGTACATATATAAGTTAGCTGAATGCAATGTTTAAAAAAATTATTCCAATGCTAGTGTATCATGTAAATCAGCAACATACTTAGCAGACAAAAATGCCACTCATTACATAACAGTACAAGTCAAAACAAGCAGTACACATAGAACAGTAGGAAAGTCCATCTATTTTCACTCCATTCTGTTCTTCTCAAACTAATAGTATTACATAAAAAAGTAAAAGCATAATAACAAAATCTTCTAGAAAAAACAGTATAGTGTCTTATAGTGGCACTCTTATCTTGCAGTCATTTGCTTAGAACATACCATGCTAAATCTTTCCAAGGTAAAAATACTAAGTTTTAAATTGAGGGGAAAAAAAAAGAAGTAAAAATCCCTGATTGTATTACACTTGAAAGGCCAATTTTCTTTTTCTGACTAATTCTAATGAATCAATCTACTGTTGCTTAAAGTAGAGTAGTTCCAACACAGAACTATCTTCACTTTGGTTAAAGGACACTTTTAGATACTTATATTAAACACATCAAAACCAAATATTCCAACAGTAACAATAAGCACATCCCCAAACCGACCAGTTCATTTGTCTTATTTTTGTCACTTTCCAAGAACACTTCAGGAAATGTATATGTATGTGAACCATTATAATCCTAATCATACTAATAATCTTTTGTCAAAATACTGCTTAATGACAAGTAAAGGCAAACTCTTATGTAAAGAGGTGTTAGACTTATTTTGTTATGTGATGTTAGCTCTCAATATGACAACACATTCTTTTTTCAACAGTTTCTATATATAAAGAAGTAATGCTATGAAGTGTAATGATATATTTTAAATATACATATATTTATTTTTAAATAAGTTGATCCCAGATTTTTTCCACTTTCTACTGTATGATACAACATATGCAAAACATCTGTTTGTATAGCATTAAATAGGAAGTGACCTCAAAAAAATAAGTTGGAAAGAAGCAAGAAGTAGGGATCAAAACATCAATTCAAATTCAGGGTCTGCCTGCGGAGCTTCCGCATATCAACGCTGTATCTGAAACTAAGGTATCTCCTTGTTTTCCTCCATCTTGCTTTTAAATAGGATTAGTCATTCACAATACATCTATTTTGCTGACATCTTTTCAAGTGTAGTATATTAGGACACTTTATTACAGGACCTGAAGAAACTCACGTTTTGTAAGCACGAATAGTGCACCTAATGCTGAATTTTCAAATCTGTTTTCAGCTTCAATCAGATTGCACATTTTGCATAGAAATATCGTTTTGCATCTCATCACCTTACCGTTTGAAGCAATTGTTTGCATTGCTAACAGTAAAAAACCTGTGAAATCTAAATTAAGCAGTTTAGTTAACAGTATATGTGTGAGAAGCAGCAAAGTGCTTGGTTGTGTAAATTCTGGTGTCGCATATATAATTATGGTGACTGATACTCTTCTTTGGCTTATACATTAAGCAGCAGAGCTAATTTATTTATACATGCATTCCTCCAATAAATCCATTGCTTCAAATGTATCTGAATATTCAAGAACATGGTCAGTTCATCATGAACATGAATTGCCAACATGCTTGATTTATCAAGCAAACTTACAGAAGGAAGCTGAATAACTTACAGTAATGAGAAATGTACATCTGCTTCAACTCCTCGACTGACAGCCAAACCACGTGATGCTTGTTCGAGGTAGGCACTTCAATGTGAAAACCTTTGCTAATAATGACAGTTCCACTCAAGACATTGATTTAAAACTCTGCTACAACATTAAGGTTACTAGCCAAGTATTCCAAGATGTAGGCTAGGTCTGCTAAAACAAAATACAGAAACCTTAAGTTGTGGATCTAGTAAACAGTACATCACTTGGCTGATATGGAATACAAATCTGTATTTTTGTGTGTATACTTGCAAGGAAGTATAACTTTCAAAGTGCAAATATAGTAAAATTTCTAATCTCCCTAGCTAGTGTAGTTCAGCACGAGAGAACTCAACAGTCTGGTGCTACTTTATCTAAGCAGTCTCGGTATGAACTGCTCCCCGTGAACAGTTCACATAGCACTAAAACAGAAGTGTGCCAAGGCAGGCATGGTTTGGCTAACACTGTACAGCTATGTGTGCAGGTTCACAGTATCATGATGCCTGCAAGCACACTTTGGAAATACTGATTTCCACATAGTGATCATCTTCACATCTTTTGCCAAACGCAAATAAACAAGGCACTAAGCATGGAAGTGTTGATATGTTTTAAATATACAGCAAAATCATAAAAATGCCTAACTGCTTCAAATTATAAAATGAGGGCACATTCATAAACAGCTGGTAGCTACTTTGCACAAGTAGTTATTACATATTTATAAACTTGATAACTGTAGAAAAGCCCCATGACAAAACAGAAAAAAAATTCCTTCTTAAAGATTAAAAAGAAAAAAAACCAAAACAAAAACCCCAGGCTCCTATGTATAAGGACAGTAACAATGTAAACAGAGATTATTTGGCATGCTTAAAACCTTTTGAATACAAATCCACGTACAAACCATCTGCTTGATCAATTAGTATGGCAGTGCAGCTCCCAATCCACTGCACTGTGCAGTCATACTCCATAGTGTGCATCAAGTACAGACACACAGCTTTAGCCCTTTGTTGGCATTCACAGAGAATCCAAACAAAGAATCCAAATGAAGGAGGAGCTTTGGCCAAAACTAACATCACGTATGATGTTCCAATGGCAGTTTTTGAGATTGAGAAATACATTAGCTGGACTTCTCCAAATTGTATATACCTTTTCAAAAAACACTAATTAGATGATTCCACAATATTTGCATTTAAAGAGCAAACTCTTTGGCAGATCGTATCTTTATGAAAATAAATTACAGGTTCTTTTTTCCTTCATTAGTATGTATTAACTGAAGACTGTGCCTATAAATAATTCCAAGTGGAATTAAGCCAATATATCTCTAAAAATCAATTCCTTCTAAAAAGTGTATAGAAGTTCAAAGCTGCAAACAAATGTTTCATAAGAACTAATGGATATTAAAAAAAACCCCAAACCCTAACCGCTGTATCAGGAGTGTTCTCCTGTTTAAATGATCGTGTCATAACAATAATAATTCTCAGCATTTTCCACAGCAGGAGTCCTCTATGATATCCTTTTCATTCAGCTGGGATACAGCCTGGAACTTTGCATTTAGCAACAGAGGGAGGGCTTGGTGTTAAAGACCTTATCATATCCTGTGAGCCCTTTGAGGGTAACATTCCCTATACTGGGAATCCGAACTCTAGGATTACAAGATTACACTTATTATTCAAAGTGATGGGTAAATAGAAAACAGTGCTGAAGTCATACAGTTAAGTAGATTTGCTAAACCTAGAATGCTCAGTAAGACTTTTTTTAAAGTCTAAAATCTTTGGACTGAAAGCAAAGGGTTGAAACTGTCCTATAGTTTTCAAGATGATGCATACTGAGCAAATCACAGATAAAAAAAGCTAAAATGAGCTAAATCCCAAATAGTTGTTTTTTCAACTACATTGCTCTGGATAACTCCATCCTCCCTTCTGTGGCGATGAACTCCTTTTCCGTGGCTCGTTTATCACCTTGACACAGTCTCTCCTTCAGTTTTTCAAGTTCATACTCATGGAGGATTTTCTGTGTTAAATATTTTTCACGTTTTATTTTGGCTTTCACATCGGCAGGGACGTCAGGAATCATCCATGCTACAAAGAATTTGACGATGAATACAACATGCTAAAAAAAAAATAAAAAAAAATAGAAGAAATGTTACAACTCATTACCAAATGAAACACCTATTGTCTTATCCAACCCCAAATAGATCACTCTTTTTTCCACAAACAGAATACATTTCATTTGGCTGTCCTGGAACAATACATAACAAACTAATGTGTATCTGAGATGTGCACAAAGATCAAAAGACTTCCTTTTATGCAGAAACTTTAATTCCAAACCACTTATGAATTAACAAACCCAAGAGGAAAGTGTCAGGTTCTGAATCCCTAGCTTCACTTTCTAATACCATTATGTCGTTTCTTAGAAAATTCATATGGCCGTGCTGAAAACACTATTGAGAACTGATAAGATACAGTAGGAAAAGTGGTAAGAGCAGCACTTTAACAACTCCCTTTTGCCTTCAGAACTTGCAAGACAGTGGCTAAATACTGAAGTGCCAGTTATCCAAATTATTGATTTAGCTATTTTGAGCCAATATACATCACTGCAAAATGCTTTCTGGATTTTGAATACAGTCATCTCGCATACAGCTCTTGAATGAAACCAGTAGGAGTGAAAGTGCTAGTCCTGGTGGTTTATATCTCTTCCATCTGCATAAAGACCTTTTTTATTCTACTGTTTTATTTTGATCAAATTTAGCAGCTTCCTCAGCTGTTTTCACTGTTCTTACTTGGAGGTTAACGCCCTGAAGTTAAAAGACTTAGTTATAGTAATCATTTAGGACATGAGTGTTTTGTATTACTTAGGGAAGCCACTATTTTATACTCTCAGCAGAGTATATTCTATTTTCTCTAACATTAGTAACTGCCTAGAGAATCGATAAGGCACCGATTTCGCAAGGAAATTTTGTAGGGAACATACCTCCATAATAATTATAAAGGCCAGTTTTGCAGCAAGAATGTGCCAGAACTGCATAGTGTGTAAATATTTCCTCTCATGATCTGGAGGATATCGATAGTCTCTGTACCTGTTGGACAGAAAGACATGCAAAGGTGAAATGTCATATTCAGTCTGAGACAGACTACAAGCTCAGTGACACTTACAGGCAAATACAGCTGTCATTTAAGGAACCTTTTCATCTTGTTTTAAATGGTCTGTTTACTTTTGCAGAAAAAGGTTGCCTCTCAATTTGTTTCTGTCTTATGTTTGCTTAAACACCCTCACATTCACAGCAACAGAGCAGAGATGAGGATGTGTGAGAAGTGAAATATTGTACATAGGTTACTTTTTTTTTTCAGGCAATGATCAAATAATACAGGACAGAGTGATGGAACATATCACACAGTAATGGACAAGTATTGAATAAACGTGACAGATTATGGACTGGACAGATGCAGGGTTTAATGGAAGGACAGCCTTGAGTATGTGTTTTACACTCACATGTAGAAGTAGGATAAGACTCCTGGGCCTTTAAAGCTAAAATATTGTACAAATGCTTCTTAAAGTGTTGGGATTTTTTTTTTGTTTGGTTCATTTGTTTGGGGATTTTTTTTTTCATCAAATCAGTACTTTTCTTTTACCACGGTCTTCTCCAAAGTTGTTTCTCAATTCTTCTAGAACCTCCAATGCTGCTTCTAGCAAGAAAGGACTATTTTTTTTGATGAAAGCAGGATGGCCCAGATCCTTGGTGGTATCTAGCATAATAACAATTGACTTTAAATACCATATCTCATTTTCAGCTTTGGAATCTAAACATCCCCTTAATGATACTTCCTTGTCCACTTAGGCATTGCAGCCAAAAAACCTTTGAAAATATAGGCTGAATTTTGCAACCTTAGGGATGTAAATCTCCTCCATCACTCAAAAATCAATAGTTTAAGTAAAAAAACAAAACCGAACAAAAAAACCATTAGCAATGAGGAGCTCTCAAACAAGAAAAAGGTGATTTTTTTCATTACTGGCATGATCTCTTACCATCTCAAGCACTGCCTTGCTAACAGCCTAAATATCACCTCTCACACTTTAGAACGATGAGAATGACATCATTTAATTTCTAGTGGACTACTTGGATCTGCATCGACTTTTTATGCTGTATTCTAAGGAAAGTGAGAAAATATTTATTATTACACCAACACCAACCTGCATATGACGAAGTTTTCTGGATTCAGTTTAGGCTTGTTTCTGTCAGGAAAATCTGAGATTTGAAACACTGACAAACTATTGTTTATGTACCCAGACATAGGCGAGTCTTCATTTTCAGAATAAGCATAGTAGTAAACTAAACGAGGAATCATATCTGATGTGAACGCAACAATAAAAGCCTGAAAAAGAAATTGGAAAAAGAAATTAAGGAAGTGGCATGCAATATTTGTAAGCAGATTCATAAAAAGGTTTTGGTACTGTGACTCTGTGGCATAACCCAGGCTCTTTTAAGCAAGGATGAGCAGCATGATTAGGGCACTTCACCTTGGAAAAGATGCTGACTGCAGCCACTGCTGCAAGGACCAGCACTCAGTGAACAAAAATATGTGAATAGTGCTTACAAGAGGCACCAAATCCCAAATATCCCCTCAGACCACACTGACTTCTACCTGTGATAACAGCACTCCTTAGTGAAAGAGGAGATGTGGTTTTGAATTCTTGTGAGAAAGGATGAACTCGAACCCAGTGTGTGATCACTTCGTGAAAGAAGGGGAGCCATTTTCTTCAGCTGTATTTAAAAAGGAAACAACGGCTACCAGCACATTTTGCCTGGAAACTTGAGATACTTAAGATGCCCTGGTACCTTGCTAATTAGGCAATACCTGCAAGTGGGTTCGTTGCCTAAGACACTTGCAGATCTGATACTGTTTAGTACTCTACATTAAAAAGAGGCAACTCTTTTGCTCAGCAGTCTGCTTTACATTATATTTAAGGTGAAATACTGGCACAGCATTTAGTTTCCAGATCATAAAAGGTACTCTGAGGCACTGCGCCCATAGGGGCATCCAGAAGCAGTTGAACGAGCAGAATTCCCACAGAATAGGCCTCAGAGTGACAAGACAGAAACGTCATCTGGCTGACAGAATTAATCCGCCTCTCCTGTCCCCTACGGTCCCCTCTGGGCAATCAGTGTGCTTCATCAGACTAAGCTTCAGGCTGGCTGATGCCATTCCAAACCACTGGAAAACACAGACAAGTGAATGAACAATTATGGTCCCGTGAAATGTGCATTTGAAGCTGCATGTTGTCAACATACGGACAAGCCGAACCACCCAAATGCCTTGACCACATTGCTGTAGGGTAGCATGTGATAAAGTGAATACGACTGATGAAGGAGAAAAAGCATCAGCTGATTTTTAAATCTGCAGATTCTGGGTACATGGAAGCATCAAAGTTGATATAGCACAGTTAACGTACTTACATTAGTGACAACAGACAAGATGGCCATTCCATTCAGGATTTCTTGCCAAACTCCTATGCTATGTGCTTTCGCAGCCACAGGTCTCCTGTACTGAGTGGTTAACTTCCAGGAGTCTACTCGAATCTCCAGGATATTATTCATCAGAGCAAGAAGGGGAGCCAGGGGAAAGGACGCCACAAAGAGAGTAATGAATCCAAACTGAATGACTGCAAGGGAGAAAAGAAAAGTGCCAAAAGCTGCCCCAACGAAAGTACCCTCAGCGTGACAATGAAACACGCAGGTTGCTACTCGCAAACAAATGGCAAACTTTTGCCAGGCTGCACAAGTCACCTCCAGCCCTGCCCTGAGCTAAGCGACAACCTGCCCCAGCCCTAAGACTTCTCCAGTCTCTTAGGGCTGCCATTCAGCAGCACTCAAGGGAACGGGGCATTCGGGTCCTGTCAAATGATGCTGCCAGCAGTGCCAGATACTAATTCTTTCATGGTGTTGCAGTTCTCCTCTCATGAATGGAACGTAACTGCAGGGGAATGGGAATGTACTCATACATCAAATTTCTGAATTACCAGAGAGGAACAAAACCAGGCTAGTTTTCCTCTCCTGCAGTTTGTACAGAGCAAGCCCGTTCTCCTTTTACTTATTGGCTACACTCCTAAATGAAAAAGAGAAAATACTTTCACTTTTATCACAAGCTTACCTCCACCTATTGTTATTGGTTTAGTCAAAATATTAATAGCGATTCTGTATGTAATAGTTCCACTGGGGAGCCTTAACATTACTTTAAGAATTGCAAATAAAATACACAAATGATCCCTTTAGTTATTACCAAAATGAAATGTCTGTTGGTACAGAATGTGACAGTCCTCAGTGCAGAGCCAATACTGCCACTGTATTTTAAAGATAGGAAATAGAACATCTTGTCTGGTTTAGGCAGTGGATAAAAATAAATTCCCGTACACCAGTCACCAGCTCTTCCATGATTTCAGTGACGAGTTCTTCATCTTAGACAAGCAACAGAATTCCTACTAGCTTAGCAGCCCCAGGACAATGCTGGAGCATACTGGTTCAGTTCTGATTCAGGAAGAGCAAGGACATCTATTAACGGGCATGGCTGACAACACTGATGGTTCTTAGCGTACGAATTTCACAAGATCACAGCCCTGTATGAAATATCCTGAAGTGTACGAAGTGACAGTAATACAGTTGCAAAGCTCCAGGCAGTAATTATTTCTGTACAGATAAAACAATACAAGGGACCATTTTTCAACAAATTTTGTCCTTCTAATAGACAAATACTGATTTTTATTTTTAGTCTCTTTTAGTTTGGCTTCAATTTCTAGTTTTAGTTTCTCAGGTTTCATAAAGTGATTTAATGTGCTGACCTGTTCACGGTTACTTTTGAAAAATCCTATTCTGCTACTCATGCTCCCTCTGCTGGTCTACTGGACTGTATCGAAGCACTAATCAGAGCAAAGCTAAAACTAAACTGATTTTCTCTGATCCAGTTCGTAGATCTCGTATCTGCAGTACCCATCCTCACAGGATATTTGGCACTCATCCCATACTTACAACTTCCACTGACATCAGCTGAGAACATGCTTGGGAACAAGAACAGAACAGACACTGAGACAGCTGGCTGCACCAAGAATAATGTTCCCCATTCAAATGAGGGAAACAGTCTTTGCAGCGTTTCTGTGAAACTCCCTGCAGTCTAAGATGCAAAGGCAGCTTTTTTTTTTTTTTAATTGGGCTGACCTATTTAATGATTTCCAGCAGTTAACTGTCTACTGTTTACCAGATGAAAGTGGTGGCATCAACCTATAACAATTAATTGAAGCTGTTGTTTTAGAAGTGTCAGTACAAGGTGTCTTGTCCTCAATTCCAAATGTGTATTTTTAAACTTACCCATTTCTAGATACTCATAGAATAGGCCTAAGGCTCCAAATATCTGCAGATCGTGGTCTTGCTCCCAGCGACTGTATAAATTTTCTGGATTATTTCTGGCTTTCCGGCGTCCCCACCAGTTACAAATCCAGCTGTATATGCAGAAGAAAGTTAACAACGAGAGAAGCAGATCAAGTATCCCTTTCTCTAAGCAAGCTCCTTGTTGCAACATGCTTTTACAAGCATGGCTTTCAGAAAAAGAGGCCAAAAGCCTCTATAAAATGAGTCTACTTGTTAGAATTTGTGCATAATTTACAGAATATTGCTTAGCTTCTTCATATGGCAATACTTGTTATCAGAATTTCCAAGAATTTCCTCTGTCTATAACACGGACATCTCAGTGTAAGAGATAACTTACGGTACGATGGCCTCTTGGATATTTCCCCAGATCTGTTTGCCAGCCATGACTATGGTGAGCTGTGTCGTCAATTCTATCAAACAGCCCGCAGGATCACACTGGCAGAGACAAAGTGGGGGTTAATGGACATGAATAATGGACATTACCCAGATAAACTATATTATATGACTGTATAAATGAAAGAAAGGAGTTCTTAAAACTTGTACTTCATTTTCACTTGGACTGCCAGCTAAGATACCCTCTCAGGAAAGCTGTTACAGAAGGGCTTTCAATGCTCAACGGGCTTGATGAAACACACACCAAAACATAACGACCATTGGAAGGCAGAGTAATTCAGAGATGCTTCAGGCTGACCACTGTGTAGATGCACAAAGACGGGGCAGCAGGATCTGTGTGCAGCACCCACCCCACAGCCCCAGCAAGGTGAATCTATGGTGCTCAGTTAGCCCTCAGCACCAGACCAACCCTGACCTACCAAGAACACGCATTTTCTATTCATATCCCTACACCAGAGGTATTTAAATACCTGCCAGTATCTAGCCTTTGCTGTTTGCTGAGAACACTAGTTTTAACGTTTCAACTCTTTATTGAGGCCTTCTTAAGACTTTAGCAGCCAGACCAGTATTAGGGGATACTCTAATCAGTAAGTGCACTGCATTACTTTATTGTGTTTTGCATGAAGTTTTTCCTCCACTATTGACTCCCAGGCAACGCTTCACATTAAATATTGCATTTCATCTCTGTACAAACAGCATAATTAGCAATGATATGAGGAAAAAAGCAAAAGCTTACAGAAGTACCTTTTACCAAGCGGTTTCTCTGAAAACGTAGTGCCTCAAAAAGCTAAGGAGACACCCAAAGGCCAGGCACCATTTCCATTTATACTAGGTTTCTTCAACCTAGAGAATCACTTTTAAGACCTATGGCGACATCCACTGGTATTTCAGGACAACTGGGGCCAAGAAAAGCTTTTCTATTTTTTACCCTTGTGACTGACAGCCACAGATTTTCACTGCTGGTGTTTCCCTGACCAGCACCAGCAGGAAGAATCCTTGGAAGCCCCTCCATCAGCCTTGGGATGGCCAGCTGAGGTCCGGCTCATTCCAGACCGAACCTGCAGCTGGCAATTTATGAGTGCACAGGTTGGAGGAGATAGAGTTTAACTAGTTCATTATTATTCAATCCACCTTAATCGAGAAAGTCCTACCTCTTCATTTCGCCAACGATTAAACATGTATGTATAGGCACCTGGGTAACCAACAAACTTCCCTTTGAAGAAGGCCACATAGAAGCAGGATGAATAGTAGTTGACAAACTGGAACAAAAACATTTTCATAGTGAGCCTGTTCTCATACTCCATATGCGTTCTGGGAATCTCTGTGAAACCAGAAAACAGTTATTTTACTTTCCTTTATTCCCTTTAAAGGGATACAGATTCATAAATACTCATCATGCACAGTGCCCTTACACCCCAAAGGAAAGCAAAAAGAAAAAGAAAAAGACCTACAAACGTTTCAGTAGATGGAGCTCCTGCTCTCAGACACCCTACCTTTAATTTACAATGCAATATTCTGAGTAGGCAGGCAAGTGAAATTCATTCTTGAAACTCTTATAAACTTCAATTTCCCCTTCTCCATACTGTCCATTAGCACTTGTCTATCCCCAAAGCCTACCCTATTTTAGGAGATCCGAGGCGAATCTCAAACAGTAACTAGCAGGGTCTCCTAGAGTATGAAAATTTCACTGTTGGCAATGCGCATGATAAAGAATTTTTTTTTTTCTTTGTGGTAGAGAAGTATGTTACAGTATTGGTTTTTTCAATATGCTGTATGTGTGTAATATATTGAAGTCAGAGAAACTGGATGGGCCCTGTGCCTCTGAAAGATGAGACTCATAACGGGGAGAAGAATAGGGAAGGATGCAAGCATGTCGGTGGTACTGAACGTCACCAAGCCTTTGCTTGAGATTTTGCTACCTTCATAATCACATTCTCCATCACGTTTACATTTTTAAAGGTAGCAGGAAGCCCTAAGCGCATTATTGGTAAAACATCCTGTTAAATGCTAACAAATAACTAATTCAAGCTGGGAAAAAGGGGAAGAAAGTATACCACAAGCATTCAAGTCCCTCTGACTTGGTCAGGACCTGGCAGACGTGTTGAACTCACCTGCCCTATTTTAGAGTTATTTTATATATCCGAGTAAACTAACATTTGCAAGCTTGGCATAAATTTGCATGACAGAAGAACACAGGGTATTTATCGGGAACCTGACATCAGAGTGTACTATACAGAAGGCAGTACGCAGGTGATGTAGTCTGCCTAGGTTGCAGCTCATCAAAATGTTTTTATTGTCATTGTTCAAATGTTTATGTCAGACACGCAACATTCAGAGCACCAGAAGCTGGTTATTCCTGCATGTCGGAAAGCAAAATCTGGCCCAACCTTTTTCAGGAATTCAAGAGTGAAGAGAGTTTGAAGAGACACTCCTGACAGCCGCAGCCAACATTTCACAGCCTGGACCCAGCCGTGTCTCTAAGCCTGGGCTAAGTGCAGCTGCCGCGGCTGCCAGAGGAGGGCGGCAGTCCCACAAAAGTAAATAGTGATTTTCCTTCTGTAATTGATAACCACAGGTAGGGCTGACACTTAAGAAATTAATCCTCCACACTTGCAAGCAGCAAAATAACATTGCTGAGCCTTCATGCTTGTAATTCATGCCCTTCAAAAAAAGAAAGAAAAAAAAAAGACTATTTTCTGTTTGGTTTTGGTTTTGCTAGGGGCAATTTTACTTACTACTCGTTCTGTCTTTCTTTGGTCTAATTTGGCTGCGTGAGATAAGCAGTTTTCCGAGACAAGAGATGGCCCACGATAACTCAAAATAAACCCAATGCAACATCCCATTAAGCTTCTGCAAGAAACACCTTTCAATTCTTGATTCTGCTCGTAAGACCTCATTAAAAAAAGACCACCCAGCTGTTTTTGACAGCTATACAAACTACAAATACCTAATACTTTCAGCTCTCCCCCCCAGCTGAATATTCTGCAATTATTTCTTTCTATAAAGCACCTGCAGGGACTTGTACATCTAAATGATTAAGGGCAAAGAAAAATACATAAGAAGGGCTCTAGGGAAGGATATTTCCAGCAAGCAAGCAACAGTCAAACATAAAAATCTGCTAGAAAACTAATAGATCTTTCTGGGCCTGCTTGCTAGTTCCTCCAGCTCTGGAGTGAGCCTACTGCAAGTAATGCTACCAATGGCTACAGCCACAATGACACATCTTGGGCCCAACTTCTCAACTTGCTCAATCTCTACCTTCAATCTGTATTAACTCCAAATCTGTAAATCCAGAGCTAAGGGAAATAGTGCCAAGAGAAAACCCTGGAAAATATACTGTCCTATCCCATGCTCCAGCCTCCTACCTTTTCCCCCAAAGTAAGAGACATGATTATTCAGTCCTTTTTCTTGTAAAGATGGCTGTGAAAGCTGTGATCTATTTTTAAAAATGTATCTTCAGGATTTCTAATTGAAATACTGCTAAATCGAGACAGTTTGGTCCTGTTCTGGTGAGTCTACTGTAACACATGATAATTTTTAATCATGTTCAGAACTATGGTTGTCTCTGTAGACTAGTTTTAATATAAGCAAACATTATGCTAAGAGAAACCAGCTTATGATAACTATTCAAATGCAGGGAAAATGTTCAGTATGGTCATGGATACAACTGAGTCATTGCTGCAAGCTACAGACTAATGTCCTAGTGCTCCCACTGTGCCTGCGTTGAGAGCAAGTACATAGAGCACCTCCAGCTGGGTTCTATCTCTAGCGATTCCTTCAAAGTTTTGTCTTCAGGTACACCGCTTACCCATATCAGTAATCCAGATGGCTATTTTCTCATATAAGAAATTCAGTATCATGATGATGACAAAATTCAGGCATGAGGCTGTGACTGAAGTTGCCAGCTGAGGGGTCAGTAATCCGCTGATGGGCTGTAAAGTTTGAGTGTTCTCCATCAGGCTGGCAAAGGCAGCATACACCGCAAGACGATACACGATCACAGCTATCATGCTAGCTATAATCAGAGACACCTAAGGAAAGGACAGAGATTTGAAATACACTTACAGCTCAGTATAGCTATATACATGCAACTCTTGAAATAAGATGTAGATCATCATGCTTTCTAGTTTTTAAAATTTTATTCTTTAGGAGTATGAGTTCAGCAGCACTGAAACGCAAAATACACAGGCAAAATAATTTGTTACATTACATACATTAAACCCAAGAAAATTATTCTGTTAACGCACACAAAAAAGCAGACAATCTAATATCAGTACTAAAAAAAAAAATAGCGCAGAAGAATACAGACTTATAGAAATGGAGATGGAAGGGTCAAGTTAGATTATATTGTCCGCTCTGAAAGTCACTCTGCAGATATTTCTAAAGAGGAATAAGTAGATATTTCATTGTAATGAATAATAGTTTTGGTTTGGGTTTTTTTTACCTTTACTACAAGTTTTCTCAGTATGGTCTGTTAACAGCACATAAGCCAGAGAAAAAGTTATCCCTATGCTAAGATGTCCAATCAAGTTAATAATTAATGATGGCTTTTCCAAGGGTTTGTTGTTTGTTTGTTTGTTTGTTTTAAATCTGAATTAAATTGCATTTTGCATGACAGCAGAAAAATCTGCAGGACAACAGTAAAAGCATATGTTAATGTCATGATTAGGGATGATCAGCAGCTCTGATATACGTTAAAATGATGATTCAAAAAGATGCTCACCCAGAACAACACTGTAGTTCCCGAGACGCAGAACCGCACAGCCTGGCTAGTTACAGGCAAATAAGGCTCCATCTCCTGAAACAGTCGAGCAAGCACAGCACAGTTCACAGATCCATAATCTTATTGTAACGTCAAGCAGCACACAGAGCTCTCATCAGCTGTGTGAAAGTGCCCACATCCAAGGAAAACCTTTAGAACTCCCCTCTCTACAAGGGCCGATAGGACATGGGTTTTGAATGTGCTGGGGGGCAAAAAGATCAGCACAGAAGTGGCCATAACAATGCTGTAAAGTAAAGACAGTACTTGGAAAGAATGGTTAAACCTTTGCAAAAATCAATCAATAGCTGAAGGAAAAAGAACACCTCCTTCATTAGATGAACAGGACACAACTATTACTCTAATGCTAGGTCAGCTGTCATACAGCTCTGAGTCCAAAACTGGACTGAATTTCAAGAAATTCTTCACACTGAGGTTTCTTAAAATGGTCATTTATTTGGATGTACCACATTTTTCCACACAGCCAGAGAGAGTTTTCCTCCACTCCTTCAATTTATTTTTAATTGAAGAAATGGCTACATTCATTAGTTGCCAATCTCTGCTGCAGCATCAGGCAGCTAGGTCTTACCCAAGTGAGTATCCCCATATAGCACATGAACAATTTTCCATGTTCGTGTAAAGTTCTCTTTTTTGCAACCAATTCTAATTCCTAAAATACCAGATTACATGTGTTAAGAAAGGATCATTTAAGAACTAATGGCAGTGGAAGAAGACTTAGTAAAAAATAATCTGAATTTGATAAATCTTTGGGATAAGGCATTGTAGTATGCTTATGCTCCTCTTGGACAAAGGGGCACGGATTACACATGAGCGCAATATTAAGTATATTATCAATAAGCATATTGAACCAGGAAATGCTTGTTTTGACAACAGAAGGTATTGAACCTGTAAAACATTGTTGAAAGGAGTTTATTTTCTGTTGCACAGAAGCCCAGAACGTGCCGAACGCACTGGCATAACGTGGCGTAATCATGCTGAATGCAATGGCCGCAACTGAGCTGCACATTTCTCCCTGACACAGCCAAGCAGTAGCCGTTGTTTTACAAGCATTGCTTCCTGATGGTGATATTCTTCAATCGGCATGCTCATACGCATGTGATTTTGTTTGAAGCGTAATGTGCTGTTCTCTCAGGAGAGATATACTGCCCGTGTCTGCCTAAGTACACTCACTAAACGCAATTATCAATACTGTAGTCTCAAGTCACAATAAGTTTTTTGATGGTGGTAACAGTTAAAGGCTCTATTAACAGAACTATAGAAAACAGCTGAAGATAAGAGCATAGATACCAGGTGACTTTACATAGGCTCATAACATTTTATACTTATTTTGTATTAATAAATAATATATATAATCTATACTAACAATAAATATTTCACATATTCTAGGCTATTCAACAAGTTTTATACTTTAGAACAAAATGTAGGCAATAATAAGCAATGACAGAGCCCAAGTTTGAATGGAATGCTTCATTATTTATGTAAATTAAGATTCTACTGTAATCAGCAAAACCAGATTTTAGCTATGATCTAGCTAGATGGCTGAGCATCATGAGCAAATGAGGTGTTAATTAAAGCCTCAAGATGGGCAATTTCTGTTTCAGTGCACCTAGAACTTTGAATCATGGCCAGGAATAATGAGGAAATAATTTTCTGAGCAAAGCAAAGCCAGCCTCGGGATGCAAAAAACTCAGTGACCTGTATCCATATTATCTTATCAGTCTGCGGAACTAACTTATTTGAAAGCACTGTCCTTTCACATGTTCAGTACTGCATGTTATCTAATGAAAGGAAATTACATTACAGCGTGGCTAACCTGTATGGTTTGCTATAACGGGGTATTGATAAGCATCACTGCTAAACTCTGCTGCACAAAAGCTTCTGAAAATCCACCAAGGTAATAAATTGATGTGTTATAAAATAAAAGGATTGTACAGTCATTCAATTTTTACAGTAATTGTTAATGCATACTTAGAAAGCACAGACCAGTGCAGTACCTCACTCTGAGATAAGAAAAATATATTACTGTCCAATTTCTATTTCCTAAAGAAAGTCCAAATAAACCATCCTACCCAAGAGATCTGCATGAATTTAGAGAAAGAACAATCTTCTCCCTCAGGACAGTTACACAAATGCACCTCACCCATGCCACCTTATGCTGTCATCTGCTGCAGCTGATTCACCTCACCAGACTACGGGTTTTGGTCCATGCTGTACGTAACCACTGCCTCCGAGTCAGCCCACGACTTCCCTGTCCTCACACAATTACCCTCTGCTGCAGTCTGTTACTTCAGAACGCACAAGGGCCGCCTCTGTGAAGAACTAGCTAATCAAAAATTTATTTACCTGAAACTGTTTTCCTGAGCATGCAGAAATCAATACCTCAGCAGAGCCATGCTCAAAATCATAGTGTGTGGTTATCAAAGATCTCTGTGTAACTTGTCCAGCGTACAAGTGACAGGTATAACAACAGCACTAACGCTGCACGTGCAGAAGGGGAAGGAGAGACAGAAAAACTGTCTCATGAGAAATAAATTAGTGTACATATTTCCTAATAATTAAGGAGACAAGCCCTGAAAGACAGGGCGACTGTTTATAAAACAATGATTCTTCCCATGTTCTGGCTAAGCGTCTATTTCTTTTCTGAGGCCTGTGTTATCTAAGTATACTTACAACTAGTGAAAATAAGTTATTTATATGCAATTCTAGGAAGAGGAAGGATGATTTAAAACTACATCAAATTGAGGTGGTAGATGTTATATTGGAATGCAGCAATCTGATCCCTAAATTGGTCAAATAACTCATACCTAAATTAAATTGAAATGAAGACAATTAACATTTAATAAGTATTTATATAGAGTGTTTAACAGAGTTAAATAGTGTGGTTAATTGTATCTCAATTAGATTTCAAACAAAGGGCTTCAGCAACCTTCATCTCTCTAGCGTTCCCCAAAGTAGTTGTGTATCAGAAGCGAAACCTCAACTTGTCCCACTTATGTATCTTTGTATCAAGACAACTGCTTCTTCATACATTGTGTAGGGGTGAGAAAGAGTGCTTTTAAAGGCATGAAGATTTCAGAGACTGCTACCTAGGAACGTGAAGGACACTGCAAAGATGGTGTTAGCCAAGTGAAAGCTATCAACTTTGCCTTTGTATTCCTGATTTAACATATCAGTTTCCAGTGGAAATTAAAATCAATAGAGGATAATTAATGAAAGTTATGCACACACTCCAGAGGCAACCCCCCCATGTTCTCATTTATTGTGTCTCAAAGCCTAGATAACAAGAGACATCTGCAGGAAGAGAGCCATGGTCCAAGAGATGGAGCATGCCTGTCACGTGCTGACAGCCTTCAGTTCCTGTTACCTTCAGACTGGAAAGCTGGACGACCGCACCGCAACGGCCCTGCGCCAGGGTAAAGAGACCCCTGGATTTATTGACGCTAACGCAGCCATGCTGCTTTCGGCAGTTAAACTGTTTATCTCTGGTAGTAGTCAAAAAGCCCAAACCTCAGCACCCATCAACTGGATGCCTCCAGCGAGAAAACGATGTGTTACCAAATTCTGCTTTGATATTTGATGCAACCTGCTGTGTTCAGTGAGGGTGTGGTTGGCATCACGTTCTACATATTTCAGCCAAACTCACGGCTGTCAAACACTGCTCTGTGGAGAAGTAACAGCTGAGGGCCTGCCCTGCTTCAATATAAATGCGGCATTGCTTACACATGTCACACAAATCTTTACCTAGCCACAAGATACAGACTTGTTCCTGAGACAGAACTCACACATTATCAAACTTTCAACACAAAACTGAATTTGCGTGCATGTCAACCAGCACGCTCATTACCTGAGTTACAGGATTCTTCTTCTTTTGGGTACATTTTGCCTCGTACTCAGGCCTCAGCTGGAGTTGTTGCTGTTCCTCTTCAAAATCAACCAAATCCCACTCATATTTCAGTCTAGCTTGCCGTCTCTTCCAAAACTCCAAGAAAAGTGTAACTGCAATTCGGAAGCGTTAAAATACAGTTAAGGGAGAACTGAACAAGTTCATGAAGCAAGTTAAACTTATTTCTGCACTGGCTTCTATTCTGCAGTCTATTATTTATCCTCACAGTGTGACCCATCTATTTTTACTGACTACCTATTGAAGTTCACAGCTAAGACCGTAATATGGATTAAGTCATTTATTAGCTAGTTGAATTCCAGAAGTAGATGACAGGGAAGATGTCAAGACAGGATATAGGTACTCCCATGGTTATGACGACTGTGTTCAATCACAGTTTAACTAACTACTTTTCATATGCAAATAGCAACACAGAATTAACAAAGGAACATGATAATTCAACCAATTGCTTGTGTATAAACCTGTAACACATGAACAACTACTACAAATAAGCAGAACTGATTTAAAGTAGTACGTTCAAAGATTTCTGTTGCTTTTTGATGATTATTTGATATCACGGTCATTTTTAAGATGGTGAATATCTGATGCTTTTCATATGATCAAGAGTGAGGCTGGCTTAATTAAGACACTAGAGGGAACTGATTTCACATATAAAATAAACAACTATAGAAATTATAATACTACGTAACATTTTAAAAGCCCGCTGTAAACTACTTCAAAATGTAAACCGTTAGTAATCTGATTTTCTTATTTGACCTGGAGAGGCTTTAAGGTTTACACAAACACAGGAAAGCTTATCTTCTGCAATTCTAAAAATCTTTTGCTAGTACTTCCTGAATGATTAATCCATGTCACTCAAACGGTAGTGCTTAAAACCAAGAAAAGTTTAGTGAAACACCCATACAACATCACCACACTCAAATTTTTTGGGGAAAATTCTCTATGAAAAACATTAGTGGCTAGATCCTTTGATAACAAATACACAAATAGATTTTCTGTTAGCACACAGAGATCTTTCTGTGTTCATGAAATGCTTATATTAGATTAATATACTGAACAATTATCACTTGATGTGAAACCATATAGAGAAAAAGTCAGGAAATCCACCTATTTCTGCATCATCAAAACATACTATCATGTATGAACTTCACTGGAGTAGAAGCCAACCACTTCTCATCCTAAAAGTGGTGCTAATAAAGCAGCAGTGATGGACCACCATCCAGTGAAAGGACACAAAAGCACTCTACTCCCTCACAGGCACACTGATAACGTGCAGGGCTTAGCAGAGAGGACTCTTACAAGGGCTGCATAAGGTTGGACCACTCTGTCTTAGGTTACTAAGGAAAGAAACAAACGTTAGCAGTTACGAGTACACAATGTTTATGATATCCTAGATATCTGCTGGGTTTTGTTTGGTTTTTTTAAGTTCAATTCCTCTGTAACTTTTAATTCTTTTTACTCTTTCATCACTTTTGCATCTGTGGCAGGATATTAGAGTGAAGCCATTATTCCCCTTATTTCCAATTCCAGTGTCCCTCAGCAGTTCGGCCAAGATCTCCTTATTGCTTGACATAAAACTTATCAAATGTACTCACCCCATATGCCCATGAAAATGGCAAAAAAAAGAGTTGCCACGTTGTCAAACAAATGGGAATACTGCAACAGAATACACAGGAACAGGTCAGCACCAAACCAGTTTTCAGTATGAACAAAAACGACAAGCGGCTGGAGAACCAGATACACACCTCTGAGGACTGACAGGTCGTGTTCAGTCTCCAGTACTCACACTCACGGTCACAAAGAGGGCACATGATGATCTCTCCTCCAATTGCAGGGTCACAGATTTCTTTGCTGAGGAGAAAAACATTGTACAGTATCTCTTTTCACAGCATCTGAGGAGCTGCTATATGAAATTTATTAAAAAAAAATAAAAAATGAAGAGCTTCATTTGTTCAAAGCTCAACATCTGCATCTTCACAGAGAAGATGCCAAGTCTTGTCACATTCACTGGTGTTAACCTGTGGTTGGTCAGGGCAAGCCAAGAAATGTAGAAGCTGCTACAAGGAGAAGAACTAGCAATTCACTTGGTATGGGCTTTCTGATTCTATCAGTAATGAATCAGAAGTCTGTAAGGAGCTGTACTGCACACGAACTGCTTTCAGGCGAGACATAAACAATGTTATTTCTCATCGGGTCAGTAATGCATTCAAAAAACCTTTTCTAAAAGCAGAAGTATTAATTCAGCTTTGATATCTACAGTAAAACTTGCTACTTCAATTTAACTACTACAGTGGGCGAAGTTTACAATCCTATGATAGCCCATTAGTACCCTGAGAAATCAGAACATGTATAGTAGTATTCTCAGGTGAATTCTGAACCTAGCTAAAATGTAAGTCTCAAAATGACGTAATTCAATAGAATGGATGATACTTTTAACCTGCTATTCATCTTTTATGGTTAAAACTCAAAATTTTCTGGAAGCTTTCTTATAAAAACCAGTGAACAATGAAACGTCAACACCCTTTTCCTCTCCTCCCCCTCTCCTCATCCCTGAGTACAATAGATCTTGGGACCCTTGAAGAAACAAATACAATGCTCATTTAAAAAGAAGCAAACTCCGGCTTCCGAGATACCGGATCCCTCTTTGATGGGAGAACACTGCTGATCTGTCCTGTACTCATGCTTTTGGTAGTTAGTACAAAGGATGACCTACGCAAAAAAGTCAATGGACTACTCTGCAAGATAGATTAAAATAGGAAAGCTTAAGGCAACAATAAACACTTGAAACAAACAATTTTGAGAGATGTCAGTGGTACTCTTAGGATTTTATGTATTGCAAGTACTCCAATATAAAAAGCTATTGCCAAATGGCAATAAAATATTGCTTTTCACCTACAAATTGAGTCTAATTAATAGTCACAAGTTCTGCATTAGCTGTCCACCACCATTTCAGTCAACAAAAGATAGCTGAAGAACAAATTTGCCGGCTCTAACAAGCTTTAAAAGCTTGCTACCTGTTTTTTTGCAAGAACAAAATTTTCACATTGCTTAGCTTTTCCTATCATAAACGCAGGAGATTTTCAACATTACACTCACCTGCTCATATTTTCATCCATTGTAAACAAGCCATAAAGAAAACAGATTAAGCCAACAACTGCTGCAAGGAATAACATCTCAGTGTAAAATCCTAGCCAGGCAAAATAGATTCCAATCTTCTCACCATAGTACTTCCTAAATACAAAAAAATGCAATTAATAGGAATACAAAGCAAAGTTTAAAACTGCAATAGTGCAAACTGGCCAGAGTCAAAATGAAACACTTGGCAAAATTCTCATTTAACAGAAATGCATTGATGTACACTGGAAAAATGAGATTTGAAGCTAGCTGTGAGAAGTAGTTACGCAAGCTGAATGAACAAAATATATGGTCTCTCTTTGGTTTTCCTCCTAGTAGAAGCTCCAGCTTTAAAATCACTCTTTCTCCTTCCCACAGGATAATGTAAACAAAGATTTAATTTTTTGATTTTCCAAGGAATTATACAAATGAAACTGGGCACAACAGTCCAGATCATGTGGTTAGAACAAATGAGTACTTCACAGAAATACAACTGGTTGTGTTTCAAATGGGGCAACTGTAACCTGCGAATAAAGTAATGTTTTTGTTACATCATATGAGCTAAATCAAAGATATCTTGGGTAAGGTCAGTTTAAATTTGGGTTTAGTACTAAATTAAGAGTCAAGCTTCAAAACTGATTTTATCAGTGTTCTTTCAAGTCTGTGTTGAAATTTCAAAATTTCAAATCAACCTTTAAAAATTGTGGCAGATATTGATTATAAAATGCAAGGTATTCTTCCTATGTGTTCTTCTACAGGTGAATTATCTGTAATATACCTGACCCTGGGAGCACTGGCTAGATCGAAAGAGCCTTGATTTGAGATAAAGCATTCTTCCACTTACTAGTAAAAACCTGTGTCATGTCTTCCAAGGACCTGGTGCCCAATTAAGTATCTGATTCTCATTGGATCTCAAAAGTAGTAAGAATTTCCCAGCAGGATCAAGGTACTAACGAGTACTGCTCATATTACGATGAAAACAGAGTAAATATAATAAAACACAGGCAGTGTTTTACCTGATGAGGTCCAAAGGCTGCTCTTTGTAGAACCGCAAGAAACGGGCCCACTCCATGTACAGCGTATATCTCTCATTGTCACAGTTCGGATCATTTGCCTTTTTCCAGTACTGGCACTGTGAGCAAATCAGAGTAAAGGCAAAACACCTCATCGACAGACTCAAATACTACATTGAAAGAAACAAACATTAATGATGATGCATCCCTTCTAAGATTGTGCCAATTAAACTAATTTGAAATTCAAACTTAGCACTCTACTTCACCACTTTAAGTTGAACCCTTTTTATATATGTAATGTTTCAAGATAACACACATTTTCAGAAAACATCTATTGATCTTAGACATTAAGTTAGCCTGTACTGTAACCACACCACATTACATTACATCAGTGTTGTGTTGGTACAACATACTCATTTGCACGGGTGGATTACTGCAGTGAATGGTTTGTTCCTTTACACTGGTGTAGCATATGCAACTGCAGAAGCTGAAGCTTCCCTAAAGTAGAAAACCACTATTTTACTTGACTTCATTAAAAATAATGCAAATTTAAATCCTTCTCTATACTTCAGTCTCATTGTAAATTGCAAAGCCAAAAGCATGTTGCCGAAAGATGTAAACTAGGGGACATAAATTAAGTTGTTTCCTGCCTCCAGCCATAGCACTGCAATGTACTCCGTGCTGTGGCTTCTAAAGTTGTAAGGCGAGGGCATGCAAAATGAAATTCTGACACTAATTAACTTCAGTGGTATTCGTCACTATCATGTATCTACCTGTCAAATACTAAGAAAATTTTGGAACTTCATCAGTTTCCTAGAAATGAAACAGCACAAAATAGCCACAGTTTCTGACAGATCTTGTAATTTTATTTCGTGTTGTAGAACTCTGCCTTTAGAAATATTTGGCTATGTCAAATATTCATTTTGTGATCTTGGTTTTCCTTTTTTTCTGAATGTCTCTCAAATACAGAGAAAAGCATGAAAATCGGTTTCTAAACAGAAATCAAGAAGTTTAAACAACCTGAAGTTTGCATTTTTTAAATATTTTAAAAGGTTAAATAGTTATTTTTTAGACAATGATTTGAGAGTCTGTCTCATGATTTTTGGAATTTTTTCATACAATTTCTTAGCATTTAAGGTTGGTTGTACTTGTATAGAAGAGATTCTTGTACAGCTGCTTTTTATTGCCTGTATTTTTGGTAGTCCCAACAGTAAAAAGTACTTCCCAGCCTAAACTAGTCTTCTACAGCCTAGACTCTGATCAGCTAAACTTTCCCCCTGAAAACCTAAAGAATGTCCATTCATCCATTTCTTTTAATTTTCTAAGGGAGGAATAAATATTTGAAACATTTAAAAACATAAATCTATATAAAGTATTTAAAAATATCTTGTGGTAGAATTCACAGATATAAATAAGCAATTTAAGTTCACTAAAGCATTGTGACAAATCTGAAATAACTATTAAAAACAAGGAGAGAATTTAAGATTTAACCAATGAATTAAACACAACATTCAGAAGGAAAAAACAAATAAACAACCAAAACCTCATTTAAAAAAAAAAGACCATAAAATAGAGTAACCCATCTCTCTTGTTTTCTCCAAGGGACTTCAGGGCTAAATCCACATGTTGTACTAAAAATTGACCCTACAGCAAAACTAAACACCAGTATTTACCATCCTTACCACACTTCCAGTATTTGCAGTTGCTCACCAAAGCTCACTAGGAGATGGACAAGCGACCATTGCACACTGAACTGTAGGGCTCATGCAACTCATCTGACTTCAGTCCCAACATGGTATGATCCCAAGAGTATTTATATAACTACAGGTAGTATGCACTACTGCATATGTATGTACACACCTTGTACATACACACGGCTGAATGTATGCACCTACAGTAGGTATTCACTCCTTGTTATAATCTTTGTAATGTACTATCACATAATCTCTATCATAGACATCATAGGACTATACTATGGAATAAGCCTCTTACGAATTATGTGACTGACACGTAAGTATATGCTAGAAACTCATTCATAGGAAGAAACATTTCAGCACATAAAAGCCAAATAGTAGGGCTGGCAGATATGTCTTGTGTATTATAAACCAGAATAAATTACTGGGACAAATGGAAGGGCTTGAGTACATTTTCATTTCTGCTCGAAACAGCAAATGTCACAATAGGTAAAAGAGTAAAAACACTGGTAAATGCTCAAGGGAGCAGAAAGCTAAAATACTTACGTCATGAAGAGGATATGCAGCTGAATAGGTGCCATTATTTAGCAGTCTCTTAATCCCAAATTTTTTCTTCCCTTCTTCTGTTCCATACGGGCAACGTGTAAGAATATAATTAACCTGAGATTCAAACACAAGAATTTCAGACCTTTCCTGCTTTAAGGCTATTTAACAGAAACCTATAATGGTTATGCACTGTGTGTAACCTGCAGGAACAATACGCAAAAGCAAAAAGTGTTTCTTCAGAAGGCCTGACCCCGTATGAGACCGTTGAGGGTACGCTTGCCTTGTAGACATCCAGAAGATCCATTCCAACAAATAGTATTCCAGATTTATAAGAAAGATGCACAGGAACCTTGGCTTCCTCGTACTTACCCACAGATTTATATACTCCTCCTCTGCATGAATATTCTAACGGGACCACGTAAATCTACATGTAAATAGAAGCAGGCAAATTGACATACGTACTATTCTGTTTCTCATGGATGGTGAGAAGAAAGTGCTCTCGTCATTAATAAGGTACAGCTCCTGCTTGTCCTTGCTGAACGGTGCTGTGAAATAATCCGGTTCAGGGTGCATCACCTTCTCAGGGAGCCTGAGCGGTGCAAGCATACAGTCCAGGGGGTTCTCCACCGTTGAGGGAATATCATTTTCCTTGATGGGAACTTTAATGTTCAGCACTTCTGCATATGTGATCAGAACCTCCCATGGGGCATGGATCTTCACAAAATAAATCTTGCCATCTTCAGATTCCTGCCCCAGGAAAGTTAAATCAGACATCAGACTAAACTGTATTTTATTGCAAGATTTATGAGAACAGTTCTTATACAAAATTTATTGCCTTTTACATATTTTTGAAAGCTTTAAAAAAAAAAAAAAAGGACGGGGCAATAGGGGGACTTTTTGTGTATATATATTTTTTTTTTTTTTTTAACTGAAAAGCTTATCCGAATGGTTGGCTGTTCATAAAGATAATCTTTGCGCTACTAAAAGCTTGCAAAAGCTTTTCAAACTACATTAATCTTGTACACTGAGGCCTGAATACTCTCATTACGCTCCGAGCGCATTGGAAACACAAGGGTTTGCCACGCAGGGCTGGCCACTTGGCAGCCCACATGTCCTGCAGGCCACCCTGCTGGACTGTAAAGCTGTTCTCTTTCCTGGAGGTGGCAGCTTTCAGACGGCAGAGTAGAGCATACAAGACGCCTTACAAAAAGGAGTTACCAGCCAGAGCTAAGATCTGTTACAGCCTCGCAGCTATAGTAAGGAATAACCTTACCACAGGCCTCACCCAACGGTATATGTTGTTCTAGCGTTCCTCTGCATACACAGGAGAAAATGGCATCAGAAGGTATTTTTAGCATGTTGCTCAATGAATCCCCATCTACGGCTGTTACAGAGTCTGAACTTCATCAAGAATTATTTTCCCCCACTCAGTCTCCGGCAGAACAAAGCATGCTGATTGAATAAATCAGCATCCCGTGTTCTCCAGTTCTTAAACAAAAGAGTAACACTACTCAAACAACGTCAAGTTGTTACATCAGGGTCCTTCCTCATAATTACAACGTGCAGTGGACGTATGCTAATCCATTCACTGACTTCCAAATATGTTACTAGTTGTTAGGTGGGATTAAATCTAGCTGTAAGCATACTTCCCATTTACATGGGTTTAAACGAAGTCACAGATATTTTGGAACTGATTTCTTTTTGTTATGAAATCAAAAGCCATCACTCCTTCCTGAATCAAAATTCTTTGCTTCTACAATTCTTGTGAACGTATCTGGAAAAATAATGCAAATAAGCACATTAAGCTTTCACCTAAATTAGTCACATTCCACTGAAATCTGCTAGCATAATTTAAATTTTTTCTCAAAGAAACAAAGTGGTATATATTAATTAATAATTTGCAGGTCTATTTCTTTGGTCCTAATTTTTCTCTCTTTTTTTTTTTTTTTTACCTTCTTGTCTTCTGTTTCTAGTTCCAAACCAGCTTTTTGCAGATTGCTCTCAAATTCTCTTCTTCTTTCCTGAAAAGAAATAAACACACTTCATTAACTCATGAAGTTAGCAACTAACTGATCACTTACTGATGACTTCACTGAGTTTCACTCCTCCTCACTGCCCTGATAACAACCCCTTAATGCTATGTGACCTTTGTAAAAGAAAGCAGACCAACAGACAAAAATCCAGCCGATGCATACCAGGCCACTTCTGAGTGAAGGCCAGCCTAGTGACTGCAACACATCAGGAATTGCACTGACTAGCAACAGGAAACCTATTTGTTAGGAATAGGCTCAAAAACTGTGCAACCTTGTTAACCAGAGAAGTAAATGAAGTCATGCGGCTTGAGCATTTTTGGCTCTTCCGGAGGGTGGTGTGTGCGGTGTGTTATTGTTCAAGTTTAGCTATATTTCTAAGAGAATGTTAGAACTAGATGAAAAGAGAAATTCTGGAAGCGTGTGGAAGACTGATCGTTTATAGTGACATCTATTTACCAGTTTAACTATCAAGCTTGATACAGATGTTCAAGTACTGATGACAGACAATTCAAAGAGTATACTTCACAAACAACATAACTGTAAAACTAGATAAGACTAACAAATCATCACGTGTAAGCTTACATATGCTTAGCTTGCATAAAGTCAGTGTGGACTTCATGCAGAAATAAACAAACCTGCCTGTGGCAGTGCAGGATGGCTGCATGACCTCTGACTTTGAGGCTTTTCTTGAAGTTCTGTATTTTGCCAAGCAATTCCTAGGTGGTGTCTTTAGGTAAGAACATTTTCTTCCCCTCCTTCTCTGTAGAATTTTTGCTCCTATTGAGAGACTGAATTAATTTCCTTTTAATCACATAAACCTTGCTGAAGAACTGCCAGGATAACTACAAGTTAAGCTAAATACTGAGCCCTAGCCTCTTCAGAACGCACTAGCTAGACTACCGATTTATTTCTAGCTAAAACCTGCAATGCTGTGTGATGTTTTCTCTATTGAAAGGTCTTAAATGACATTTTTCAAACACACTTAAAAAACCCCAGAACACCATAGTTTTCAGCCAATTTCCTTTTCCTGCATATCTGTGAGAAGCAGGCTACCCTATTTGCATTTCAGTTTGCATAAACTACTCAGATAAATGAATACAAAGAATAGCTTTAACGGCCCTCAAATCTATGTTAAGATGTATCCATACATTTTCTTGTTTTAGCAGCCTTGCATTTTTATCTGTCACATCTGATTTTACCAAATATTATTAGATATTATATCAGACACTGACCTAGATAAACTTAAAAATATGATAATTCCCGAGTTCTAGCACATGCTGGGGGCAAATGCTATTCCATGCACTATTTTTTAATTCATGTATCTCAAAAACCTGCCTACACGCACCTGTATAAACTCACCAGAGAACTCGTTCGCTGACCTGCTGATCTAATAGAGAACAATCCAACTACAAGGTGATTTATGATACATTTGAAAGTGCTATATTAAAGCTGACATTCCAGCCTGGTATCTGAAGCTACGCGCTACTCTGGATTACACTTTCTCCAAACAAAGCACATTGGCATGCGTTCTTTTCCCCAGCAAACCCTGGAGAAGAGCCAAGTGAGTCAGCTCAGAGGCTCTCTGCCACCAGAGACACCAGCCAGCTCCTCCTCCAGCTGTGCAGCTTAATAACAGACAGAGTCAAAGGTCTGGCCCCATCTTACTGATCTTTCCTTACTATACACTTAGTGTGATAAATTGCAGTGCTCTAACAGAAATTACACTCTTTTTACCACCTTGCTCTCTTCCCATAAGTCACCTTCTCCGAAACCCATGTCAATGTACTGAACTTTCCAGTCATTTGAAACAACCGTCTTCAAAAGGAAATCAGTTCACTGCAAAAAAAACCCAAAACAGTGCTCCCCTATCTTCTCGCCAAATACTGGATTTCTTCATGTTGCCATCAAAGGCTTAAAATGGACAAAATGTACCCTTGGACCAGTGCTGTTTTGTTTTAATATGTACTTGTAAGAATTTTAAGCTTACTGTCCCAAACCTAAAAAGCTAGACCTGGTGCATCTATTTGTGACTCTGCTATAGATGCCACTCTGCAGTCACAGAGGGAAGCAACATAAGTAATCACATTACAGAAGACCAGCAGCAGTAGGCTTCCTCACGTTTTGTTTAAGTAGTGTTCTTAAGCCTCTCCAAACCATCTGTAAAAGAATGAAACCACATTTTCTGAGACCACTGTGGCCTATATAGGAGAGAGATCAGTAGATCATTCACCTCTCCAAACACCGCTGTAGATATCCCACACACTTAGACAGAGTAACTTTACCATCTAACGTATGCTTGGCTGTAATGAACCATCCCAATAAAATTAACAAAGCAAGATCCAAAGTCCAGCGGTACTAATATGCCCAATGCAGATGCAACACTGCATGATTAGGTACCTAAGGAAGACAGAAAACTGTTATAAACCTGTTTCTTGATAACAATGCTGTTACTGCTAGTAACGACAATCAATAAATAGGAGAATAAAATAATTTTAAGTTTACAACATACTATTCTTTAATCAAATTCCTTCTCCTTGCTTTTCTCTTTCCTTTAGGGAGCGCGCACCAAGCTTAGAAAAGCCTTTTATGTATCAGGATGCTCAGGCTTACTTTTAACTGCAGTCACGTGCAGGATATTGGGAAATAAATATGGCCTTTAGGAACTATCACATGCTACTGTAAAGCGTACAAGAACTCTGCCCTTAGCTGTACCCTGAGAAAACACAATTCACTGCACAGGACTAACACAGATGGGCTCAGATTAAGCTCAGGCTGCCCACGCCGCTCCCTGGCAAGAACATTTCAGGCAAGGTGGTGCCTGTTTAGGAAAAGCCCCTTGTCGTCTCATCCGCCTGCAGCCACGAGAGCGGGAGGCTGACGAGACGGATGAGATAACCGGCCCTGCCGCAGCACCGCAGGGACTGCTCACATGGCTTGGGAGGATGCTCTGCACGCCCTCCACAGCACGAGAGACAGCAAACACCTTTCTTCTGCAAGTACCAGCCAGGCTTCTGTAACGCAGCAAGGAGAGGTGCCCAGTGTGGCTTAAGCCCAGTTTTCAGCTGCTCCTGCAGAGCCGGGGATGCGGCTTCTCCCAGTTGGCAGCCTAACAGTGCAGCAGGAACAACAAGCATCTGATTTTTTGCTGCCCCTGGCTCCCTAACTTTGGGCTATCTGGTGCCTGTGAGAAAGCAGAAGTTTCTGTCTGAGATGATGAAAAGTGGGAAAGGACTAGATAAAATTTCTTTCCCTATCTCCATGCCCCACTGGGGACGGGAGGACTTTGCTTCCAGTAAATATAGGAACAAGTTACTTTGCACAGAGATCCAAGAGTCCTAATGCTCTGGAATTTCTTGTAGAAGAAATACACTTATGGACAAATAAAGATCATGTCCTGGTCACACCTGAATAATCTCTTAGAGAGTTTTAGAAATTATGTTTATTTTTCCACATTCACATGCGTTTCATATATCAGTGAAATATTTCCACTTATCTGCTAGAGGCTTTCAGGAAAAAATATAAAGTATTGTCTCACAAAAATGTAATCCTCCTTTTTCTTTAGAGAGACTTTTTAGTTAGGATTTATTCATGTAGCTTATAGAAGGCAAGTTCAATACAGAGTTTGCGCTGCAAAGTTTCTGGGAAACATCAAAGTTGTTAATGCATTTGTTCTGCACGAAGCTAGAAAAGATGAACAGACCGCCTCTTACATCTGTATCCGGCCTGTGTTAAAACACACAAAGAAGTTATTCATCTCCTTCTTAGAAATGCAGAATAAAGCTGTTTCCTTGAGACAAGGAAACAAACCCGTTTGTCACAACTGTTATTCTCTTCCCATGAACGCTTCTATTCTTAGCTGTTACATTTTGCTGTATCATTGTAGTACAGAAATTCACATTTCTTTCCTGCGATGACTGTACAATAGCAAGTACAGTATATCAGACAAATTCCAAAGGCTGCAGTGCATCACTATTTAAATCTTGTTCCCACACAGACAACAGCACAGTACTTCTGTGCTAAGAAGTCTGCATTAATTTATGGGCATATTCATGTTATAAAGGTCTATGCTGGACAAAAATATAGGGCAAATTTAATTTTCTTAGCAGATTCCCTAAGAACCATGTAAAAACTCACACACCGTAACACTGATATCTTCATGCCTGTCTGTTCTGTGATGGCAGAGCTAACCTACAGAGCCACAGACCAAACGCCTCCTTCCATGGGGCCATAAACTCTTTTGCAAGTAGCAGACAAATACAGAATTAAATCTCACGAAACTTGATGCAGATGTTCTACTCTTTTGTAACAGAGAGATGTTTCTTCCTAGCTAAGTGCATTTTTACTTCAAAGAGGAACTTCAGTATTAGCTACTAGCTCTTGGGTTCTTCCCCATGTCAATCCTTCAGTCAATAATGACACGCATGTACATGGCCTCTGCTCTGGCAAAGATTCCTGCCACCCTCTAATGACCTATAAACCAATGAGAAGGAAATTGCTGCACACAATATGAACGAGTGCCTAGACTGAGCATCTGGCTCGTTTTCCTTCCCACTTGAAACATTACCTAAATAGTCTCCATTTCTTCCCTCATGTTATTTGAGTATGACTAATGGAAAAGTTTATTTTAAGGCTTGCTTTCACATATTTTGCATGGATATCTTTTTCTTCTCTCTACACTGATTGGTCTCCTCTTCCTTCTTTATTAAAATGTATTTTGCTTTATGGTAGAAGGAGGAACGTAGCTAGGATTACAGCCTGACACAGAGCCAGTGTGGATTTGAAAAAGTATGCCTTCATATAAACCTATGGTACCAGCTATAATATAACCCTTGGTCTCCTAAGCAAATCTCCCAAACGTGGCTAGCTGAGGAAAGCAGACTCTGAGATGCTTAAGATGGGAAAAGCATCAGAGATGATGACAGGCATTTTTGCTTTTTTTAAGGTAACAAGTATATGATGCAGGAGCCGTGTTCTACACCGGACCGTATCTGCATATAGGCAGCATAAGTCCTTAATGAAAACATTATTTCCTTCATAAAAGAATGTAAGCAGTAAACAATTTTTTGAACAGTCCAATTGTGCAGTTTTGTTCAAAGGAAATTATAATTTTTAATTATGAAACACTTTAATATGACAAGATATAGATGAGAAGCATTCTTTACTTCACAGACCTTTAGTTTTGATCATGATTTTGTCATAAGCTTCCATATAATTAGTTTTCTTCAGAAAGCCTTATCTTTCAGAATAATGTGATTACATGAGAATGAAGTCTTTTTTGGTTTGGTTTTTTTGGTGGGTTTTTTTTTTTTTAGAACAAACTGTGGGGATGTGTATTGGAAAGACTAGTTTGCAAATGTAACCTCTCCTGGTCAGAAAGAAGGCAGTGAATAAAGAGAAAACAAAATAATCAAAATCCCCGTAATTATTATTTTTTAAACACTATGCTTATATGGAATTTATTGTTTGTGTTGACTGCATCTCACAGTACCGGATTTTTTAAATAGCCTGAATTTATGTATTAGTCAAGTTAGACCTCAAGTGTCAGTCTGAGCAAGGAACAAATACATGTCATTTACTGATTCAGTCTGACCTACTGCTACCATTCAGGCAACCGGGTCTTGCTGGGAAGTTCAGGGATGATCACTGACGAGCATTTTAGAGAAAGCCTGTACGTCATGCTCTGTTACATAGGAGGTCTCTTTTCAAAGCCACTTTAAATATTCTTCCAGAAGAACCGACACATGTAAAGAGCTAGTCAAGCACACAGAAGAGCTCAGAGAGGAGCTTTGTGTTTATTTTGCTTAGAGTATAGAAAAAAAAAAAAAGTCTTAAAAGGAAAATCACATGGATTCTTGGATCTAAGAATCCATTTCTGCTCTAACTGAAGTCAAAGGATGGGGAGGAAAAAAATTTATAGTTACATCTCATTTGGATAAAGCTTTGCTTATTTAGAAGAAACCTCCTTCATTTAACTATTTACAGATAGCTTCACCAAAGCCACAGCTAACTATAAGACTGTTAAATGAAGAAAGCAAAATAATTTGGATTACTTGGCATTGATTGTATAATATACTGACCAGCCTAAGTAATGGAGAGTGATCAATTCAGTAAATAAAGCCCCAAAAATCTAATTGGGTCATAATGCACAACAGTGAATTACACAGAAATTCAGTACATGGAATGGCTTTTTATGCAGCTATCAAGTTTTTAGCTAAATCCAATTCCAGCTGAGTGTAGTTATTTGAAAGGCTTAGTAATTGATATTCTGGTTATGACAGATAAGAATTCAGAGGACCTCAAAAAGACAAACTTACCAACTTTTTTTCCCATTCCTTATTAAGATCATCCACATAGGAGAGAACAAAATCAATTCTCCTGACACCGTCCCTGAAGAAAATAGAATCTTTGCTCTGATGTCTTTTATCAATCTGTGGAAGATATAGGCATATGATTAAAAAAAACCAAGCATTGCCGTTGCTCTAAAATATAACAGAAGACAAAGAAGTTCCCCCAAATTGCCTCAATTCTTCAGTTTCTTCATAGCTGAAGATATACTTGCACAAGTTTTAACAAGGGCTACATCCAGTTAAAATAATTTCAAGATTAACTGCTTATATGCACAAACACTACATGTAAATAACTGGTATATGAAGAATAAATATATGTTAGTATTTACAATAACCTGTGAACAATGCTACCATTTATTCTTTCACAGTCTTTACAATGTGTCATAAATGATCAAGACAAGTGTTATTTGACAGCATGGGTTTTCTTCTGCAGTTAGTCAGAATGCCACTCTATATAAAAGCCAGCTAAGGCACTGCTCATTGACTTGAAGCAAGTAGCAAAAAGTAAATTCCATGCATTGTATTCTACATAACAAGATTCACTAAACCAACCACCACAGAGAAATATGGCCCAGCTATGACTACATATGAAAATGCACACAAATGATACAGGGGTTACATTTCAAAATTGAGTATTTACTTTCTTGCGGGGAGGGAAATCTAATAAAATGTATCAATGCAACAGGGTAATTAGTATTCCAATTGATCTATTAACAGTCATCTTTTCATTTATCAGCCAGAATGTCGTAATAACAACATTCATCTTCTTCACTGATTAGGCTACAGTAATTAACGTTAAGCAAAAAAAGACTATTACCTCACTCTCCTAGGGAAGTTAGCATAATATTAGGTAATATTATTTATTACCATATCAATATTCAGCTCTACCAAATTGTTTGCAAGACTAGAGGTTCATACAGCACAGTGCTCTCCATAGAAGCTAACACTCTGGTCTAAATTTACCTCCATGCTAAGGAAGGTTGTTGGTTTTTTTTAACCACACCCATCAGCAAAATTGTATTTATATAGGACTGAATTGGGTTTTTATTTTATTAGAGTAGGAACAAAAAAAAAAGAGTAATTCAAAGGGATATGTCTCTGTCTTCTCCCTCTTAAGCCATGCAAGGATGCACGCAAAATAAATTCTGTGCTTTCTCAGAGAACTTTATAACTGTGAACCTTGCTCCCAGTTAACAAAAGGCATCACACAGTGAAGCATGTTATTACTGCAGCCATCCAAGCTACTTGCAATATCATTCATCACTGTTTTACCCTGAGACGTCGCTTCAGGAACAGATTATATCTCCTTCCACTCTGCCGGAATAACCAACAAGTAGTTAGCAATCCCACTGTTCCTCTCCAAGACCCAAACCAACTGCTTCGAGCACATACCCCCCAGCTACAGCTAGTGAGAAATCTGTGTCCTTAAGAAAGCCAAGAAAAGCTTCCAACTATTAGGAAAACACAAGTATTCCTAAACAGTATGAGTATAATGTCTTTTTTATTAAAGGCAAAACTGTGCTGGCATTAATTTTTATTATAAACTCAGGTATTTTAAAATAATGACTCCTAAATTGCTAATTGCCATCATTTGGCTACTTAAGCAGATTTTAAAAAAAGGAACAATGAGAAAGTTTCTTTAAATGCAACGCAAAGGCAACAAAACAAGCACAGGCTAATGAATAGAGCATGCAAGTTTCTGTTACGCTCATGTCAGGTTGGACCCACTGGGACATAAAAAGATGAATTGCAACTATGTCATTCCAGAGCTGACAAAACCACAAGCAATAATATCTGCATACTCCGGGACATGTGTTTATCTTCAAGAGGTTCAAATTTAATAATAATAATAATAACAACAACAATAATAATAATAATAAAAATTCCTATTATTCCATAGCTTTATACAATTTTATGCCTCTTCACTAGATACCCTGGTAACTGCTGAAACCAGACAGTAGCCTACTTGGACTATCCATGCATTCCTCAGAATTCCTGTATTTCTGAAGCTATCCTAGCCTTTGGGGAGGTACAAAACACTTGGTTGTTTTTGTTGTTCCTCTTCTTGAGAAATATTTACAGCAGATCAATTAACATAGACTACTTTGTAAGAACTGAAATCAGGACATGCTACCTCCAAAAATGCTTTTGCTTTCAAATGCAGTACATAATCATTAGGACTAAAAGGCTCACAAAAATCATGGAATCCAATAGAAGAAAAGAAAAGAAACAGCATTTTCCTATTCTATTTTGTGCTTACAGGTTTGGGGGGTTTTGTAAATATAATTGTGACTACAAACAAATTGCAACTGTTTAGATGTTAATTTGATTAGTGTATAGAACCACACCGACATCTTAATAGTATCAACAGTACTCTAATTATTCAGCATTACAGTAAGTGAACCCCAAAGTGCAGTCTAACAACTTACAATGTTGGGAACCAGCCTAAAAACAGACCGCCCCAACCACCAATTTGAAAAAATAGAGATTGTGCAAGCACAGACATTGTCCTAGTGATTTAACAAAATCCATATACACAAAGAAAGAAAGAAAGAAAAAAAAATCAATAATATTTACTTCAAAAAAAGCTCCTGCCAAAGGAGTGTCCCAAATTCTTTGGGTAGCATAGTTATAATTAGATCATTCCATACGACTGAAGTAATATTTTATCTTTAGTGCCATCAAAGTTTGCTCATTTTCTAAAATGTATTAGAATCCTGCTTAGTCATTAAAGGTCTGACTATCAATTATAAGAGGATGCAGTAGTCATCGTTGGATCTGCTTTGAGAAGGGGAATACTTATCACTTCTCTCTCCTTCTGTACATAGGATTATTCATCACGGATAGTGACAGGCCTACTTATTAAACCCATAAATTATTCCTTTCCATTTTGCTGCATTTGGATTTCACAAGAAGAACAAGATCAGTCTTGCATATTCATGCAATTCTGTGCATAAATGTGCACTTACAGGTTTAAAATATATATAAAAAGTTGGTAATTTGCATTGGTTGCATCAGTGAATCATAAAACATTATGGATTAGTATACTTTATTTCTTAACAGCTCTTTCCAGAACTGTATTCAAATTAATTGATCTTCGACAACCTACAGTTATTAAATGAAGTTACAGCTCATCAGAGCAGATACTCTGTGACGTGTACCTTCTGGAATACAAGTAACCAAATTAATATTTCCCAATGCAGCACAGTGAGGAAGCAGAAGCTTTTGAGTAATACCCAATGAGGAATTACAGAAGAGACGGAGCCAGTCTCTTCCCTGAGGCATCTGGCGAGAACACAAGAGGCAACAGGCACAAGTTGCAACAAAGGAAATTCCTACTGGATGCGAGGGTGCGGTTGAGCAGGAACAGGTACAACAGGTTGCCCAGAGAGACTGCGTAACCTCCATCCTCAGAGATCACACAGCTTGACCAAGCAAGGCCCTGACTCAGCAACCTGATCCAAGTTTGAAGTCAGCCTTGCCTCCAGTAGGAAACTGGTCAAGGAGACCTCCAGAGGTCCCTTCCAGTCCAAGTCACTGTACGATTCTATGAAATGGTGCTACCGCAAGTGTTTAGCATTTACCAGTGCTTCCAAAAGTTGGATAAACCCATCAGCTACAAGGCAAGTTCACAAAAACTACTTGTTCAAAACCAAGTACTACCTTCCTATTTTCCTGTAGTAACTTTCCAGTCTTAATAGTCTAATTAACTCTCTAAGTGACTTCATAGCCTGCGGACAGATCTGCTAACTGAACGCTCTAACAGCCTATCATAAGGCGCTAAATTTTTCACATAGCTACATAAATGTAAACTTACTGGATTCATATGGAATTATATTAATATTCCTAGTTGTGCTGTAATCAATAACGTCTGCCCAGACATCCAGCGGAGGTGAGGGTATCGGACCACGTTCAACCCAACAACCCTCCAAGTACCTGGACTTGCAGTCCTCACGTTAGACACAACCTAAAGCCCTGCAGTAGGAAATCCTGACTCAAACAGCACAGGTTACAGGAAAGACCCAAGATCTCAGCATGGAAATTAATAAAGCATAGCTCAAGATGAAGTAAGGCTGTAACACCCCCCGTTCAGTCTGCCCAAACTGGTTTGGGCACAGCTGGTAAATGCTGGCTGGTGGTCTCACACGACGTTCACATCCATCAAATCCAGGGCCAAAGCACACAAGCCGGTCACCGCGAACAGGAGAGGGGAAGGCGAGCTGCTGGATGTGGCACCAACCACTAAACACCGTAACAGAAAGTGCTTCAGAGAAACGACTTTGGACTGAAGCTGAGGGAGGGAGACCGAGGTAAACATTTCGTGGCCTTGCTCACCCACCAAAGCACACAGACAGCTGACCTCGGTCAGCACAGTCCGCTAGCCCTCGGTGGTTTAGCAATATCACAGTACCTGAAAGGCAAATACATTTTTCAGATTATACCTGAATGATTTAATACTGTATATTCTCACAGGACTCGCAGGGATTTCTATTTCTGGTCATCTACCTAACAGGAAATTTATGTCCCTACAGGCCGCTTAGCACAGCTCTCTCCTTGTAGGCAACGGAGCTTCCTCCAAATACACCTTGCTACTAAATATCCTAGCCCTCTCCGTGTCCGTAATTCAAAAACAGAGGAATCTGACTTAGAGCAATGCTTTTCAGATTAATATTCAGTCAGAAAACTGCAAGTTTCTTTGGGGCCTACATTCAGAAATGGCCTTCCCAACTCCAGTTCCCCAGACTTCAAGGTTTCACAAGCATCCACCTCACGGAGCTGGGGCTGCAGGTTCAGACCTCAGCCGCCTTCCCCTTCTGCTTTTTGTATTTCAGAGTGGGAAGGTAGCTTAGAGCGGCAATTTCAGTAATAAAGCAGTAACCAACACTAATCTGAGATGGAAGAACCCAATACATTAGCTTCATTAGAGTTCTAGCCCAGTGAAGAATCTCCGGCTCTGACTAAAGGGTATGCTGAGAGGTTAACATGGATAACATGATCCCCATCAGCACATCTAGCAGTTATATTATCATAGTCCTACATTACCACACAAGAAACTGCCTGAAATTACAAAATAAAATTGA